TTATTGTTATACATAATTTAAATAGAAGTATGTGGTGCTTAGATGATGATGGCCTGTTTCTTCTGAACCAAACTCCAGCTGTGATAGCGAGCTGAGCAGGACCCCCTGGAGTCTAGATGCTGGTGTTGGAGATGAAGATGGTGCCATGAATGGAGCCTTAGTGAAAAGGCGGTGATGGGGAGGAGGTGTGTTTCACAAAGGCATCTGCAAGTGAGCATGACAGAAAGACAGTGAGATTGAAAGTAAGCGGCATGAATACTAAATGGCCTGAAGAAGGCCCGGAGAAAGATGATTGGACTAGACCAGTGATGTCACAAACAGATTGACAGTGTGGGAAAGTGGAAGTGAAGCCTACAGAACACCTTGGAGCAGACAGATGTGAGACCACAGATGTTATTGAACTTAAGCTTTATTTGATTGTTGATTTGCATTCTTTTGTTTTCCTCCTGCTAAATTGCTTTAATAAAATATCCTGCATTCAAAATTCTAAATTGTGGACTTTTTAACCTTTTTTGAAACAGTAAAGTTTAAATTCTGAGCACTAGCTTACATCTTATATATGACTCATACGGGTTACTCCAGCCTTCTAAAAGTAACAAACCCTCATGGCTTGCTTTTCCAAACCACTATATTAAGCCCAGTCATATTCCAAGAGCTGCAGCAATGGGTGTTTGTGGTAGGATACTGGGCTTGCGAGACTACACAGGGCTGGGTTTATATCAGAGTAGACATCCAGGGAATAGAGGCAGTTAGAACTACCGAATCTCCAAACCTGATGGATCCATCCTAGCTCTGCACTGCCTGCTGGGTAATATTCATCACAGACTACACTTTTTAAACCACAGGGTTCATACTCTAGTCCTCGAAGGCCGTTGTCCTGAAACTTTTACATCTGTCCCTGCTGCAACACACCTGGATAAAATTCGTAGGTCTTTAGCAAGACTATAGAACTTGACTGCATGTTGAGGTGGCAATTCAGCTATTTGATTCATGTTAGAGCACCTCAAGCATGAATGAACATGGTGCAATAAAAGTAGATTTAGAAATACATTTTTTTTAAATTGCACTTTTATTTAAATTTACGTGAGTAGGGTTAGGGGCTGCCAGCTCGGACTGCAGTTGCTAATGACCTACATTTTTTATGCAGGTGTGTTGCGGCAAGGACAGATGTTAAAGTTTCAGGACACCACTCCTCTTTTAAAGAGCTCTTTGATGAGACTAAGCCCAGCTTATGAGCTGCCAGTTCTTTCTGACACCAAGAGAGCTGTGCTGCAGGTTTCTCTGATTTACTCCATCAGTATTTCATAATGTGGACAAACTTAAGGGTACTGTTAAAGCTGCACTTGATTTTCTTTAGACATGTTAGGGACCAAACATGTCTAGAATCTGTGCAGAGGGGAGAGCCTCTGATGGTTTATTGTTCTGTGTCATGACGCCAGTGTTTGCAACTGCAAAGTTTATAGATTTTATTTACAGGAATCAAGATTTTAATAGCGCTTGAGCTCTATTAAAAAGCAAAAAACAGATAAGAAGTGTTAAGAAACAGGGCCGAGGTTCTGCTGACTAAACTATCAAAATGAGAGCATAGTGACATGGTTGGTTAAATATGTTTGAGTAGCTGTTCAAATACCTGAAATTCCTAACACCTATGTGTGAAATGTTGGTTGTTTATTTCAGGAATCCAAAACACAAATTATGCCTGGTTTCTGTTGTGTTGTTTATTTTAGTTGTGAATAAAGATAAATATAACTGTCTAAACTGATGTCTGAATGTCTGGAAACATGTTTGTTAAGTGCAAAGATTATTAGTAGGAAAAAAAAGTGTTCTTACAGCAGTTTACCACCATTTCAGTTTTTTACTAGTTGTGCAGCAACCTAATTTTAAAAGATGATTCCTTTATTGCTGGCA